CTCAGCCTTAATGTGCTTATATGGCTTAGAGCTCACGGCTTGATGATTCTTGTAGCTTGGCCTTAGTGCTGGGTACTGCTTCCCATCCGGCGATGGCGGCATATCAGTTCAGGCATGCTTTGTCATGGCATCTGATGCATCTGGGACCCTGAGCTCCCCCTCACAACAAAAATGCCTTCAAAGTGCTGCAGAGGCCTGGGATGAGAGCCTTCTGAGCAGGTTTAAATTGATGCACATTTCCATTAGTTGTCGAGTGAATTGAATTGTATCCCAGAAATTTTAGGACATTCTATGATCCTTCTAGTCATGTCAGCCGTTCTCGACCCGGAACCCCAAGCAACCGCTCCTCTTACTCTTGCGCTTACGACTTCGGCCGAATTGGGGGTTCGACCCAGGGTTCCTTCTTGGTTTAGGGGTTTAGGGGTTACCTAAACCCCCCCAAAGTAGCTAGCGTAATGGCCCGACGCCTATACAAGGCTATCGTTCTACATACTTTTGGGGTCCAGGTAGGGCTTATCCGGATTAGGTTTAGGGTTTAGGGTTTAGGGTTGAGGGTATCGCTCACTCAGTGAGTGCATCCGATCTTCCCATGGAACCTCTTCCGATCGGCCCGGTTGCGAGCCACGTGCCAGGCGGCTTCGAGTTTCGGTTTAGAGCTTTCACTCTATGGGGGGTTTTGGGGTATGCTATTCTTAATGGTAGCGGCCTTAATAATTAGAATAGGGTTTTGGGGTCCAGTATACTATGATGATTATAATAAGGCGCCCAAAGTAGTATCGGTAATTCTTTAAGCCCCTATGTTAATTATTAGGGCTTTCAGGTTTTCGGGTTTAGGGTGTTAGGATTCGGGCTCTATGGTGGTTAGGGGTATTGGTATAGAGATTTAGGGTTTAGGGTTTAGGGTACATACGGTCGAGCCCTAAACCCTAAACCCTAAAACCTAAAATTAGGCTTTCGGGCGATTGGGTTCAAGGTTGGAGGCTTCAGTGGGCTTGGGGGTTAAAGGGGTTCAGAAAGGAGCTTCCGGTTTGGAGCCAGGGTTCAGCGACTTAAAGGATCATGGGACTTCGTGACCAGGGTTGTAAATAAGGTGACTACATCAGTACTTATAACCCCAGTTCAGGTACTTACAACCTGGCTTACTATGTCCCATGATCCTCAAAGTAGCTTGGGTTTGGGTTCACGGCTGGGGCTTGCCTGGTACCGACGTCTCAAGCCTGGACGTCATTAACTGTGAAAGCGTATTCCTATTTTATAGAAGCCTGAATATTAAACAATAGACATTCCCTAACGTTCCGGAAAATATGGCTGACTGACGCGCCAGTTTTCTGGAAGCTTTGAGAATGGCAAGCCCTGAGCCCTTTTCCGCTTTCCAGGTGTTCCTTTGAAGCCTTTGGGGGAGGGAAAGCCTTAATTGCAGTGCCCCTTCCTTTGTGTTATTCTCCAAGCCTAAGTATCACGCAAACCGGTTTCTTTTCATGATGTTGTGGCCTGTGGCGGTGCTTCATTTCTCGTTCGAAGCCTGTGTAACTGATTATGTATTCCTTGAGCTCCTTACTGACCCTAAACCCTAAACTCTAAACCGTGATTACTACATGATACTATACTCTAACGGCCCGAACTGCGCCCATCAACATGGCCAGCGCGAGTTCTACGCCCTAAGCCCTGTAAATCTATAAGCCCTAAACCCTAAACCCTACAAAGCTATAAACCCTAAACCCTATATACAAAGCTATAAACCGTAAACCCTACAAAGCCATAAACCCTAAACCCTATAAAGCTATTAGCCCTAAACCTTAAACCTTAAGAGCCATAAGCCCCATAAAACTCATTAAGCCATATGTCCTAAACCCTATAAAGCTATAAGCCCTAAAGACTAAACCCTATAGAGCTATAAACACCCTAAACCTTAAACCTAAAACCCCATAAAACTCATTAAACCATAAGTCCTAAACCCTAAACCCTATAAAGCTATAAGCCCTTAAGCCCTTTACAGCTATAAACCCTAAGCCTTGAACCTTAAACCCCATAAAACTCGTTAAGCTGTAAGTCCTCGGTCCTAAACCCTCAAACCTATAAAGCTATAAACCCTGAGCCATAAACCATAAACTCCATAAGTCCTAAACCCTAAACTATAAGTCCTAAACCCTAAACTATAAGTCATAAGCCCTAAACTATATGTCCTAAACCCTAAACTATAAGTTCTAAACCCTAAACCCTAAACCATAAACCCTAAACCCTGAACCCCATAAAGCTATAAACCCTAGCGAGACCCTCGCCCGGAACCCGAAGACCCTAACCACTGCCTATGCTTTTGCATTTAGGGTTCAGGGTTTAGGGCTTAGGGTTTTGGGGTTTAGGGTTTAGGGTTTAGGGGGTTTAGGGTTTAGGGTTTGGGGTTTAGGGGGTTAGGATTTAGGGTTTAGAGCTTAGGGTTTGGGGTTTAGGGGGTTAGGGTTTAGAAAGCCAAAGCTCGACACTTGAACATAGGGCCTGAGTTTTTGGTAGAAGTCCTTCCCAGGGTTCGTTGAACAAGTTGATATATACATATATATAACGGCACCCAACAGCTTACTCGAGATATTCAGGCCTCAAGGCGCTGCAGAGTGATGAGCTTCGCGTTTTGGGGCCCTTTACCCCTGACCCCAAACCCTACAAGGATACATATATCTGGACGACTTATGAGCCTCCTTTATTAAACAAATGTATCCAACCTCTTTCTGGAAGTTAAGGCCTCTGCTTTAAGTTAAACAGCTAAAGCAGGATCCCTGTTCAATTTAAGACTCTTGGCATTTTTGATGGATTTCTGGAGTCTTTGGGTTCCTAGGTAGTAGCATTAGCGAGACCCCTTAAGGGGGGACCCTTCTTAACCCTACTTATGGCTCTCTTAACAGGGACCTTATTGAGAGGGTCTATATCCCCAAGGGAGGTCCCTAAAACCCTAAAACCCTAAACCCTAAACCCTAATCCTAACTCTTCTGGAGGTGCCGCAGCATCCTTGGGCCCAGCGCCTCGTGACAGAGCGCCGTGAGCTCGGTTTAGCTTCATTACATGGCATAACATAACATAACATGACTTAACATATCACAGCATAACGGCACATAACATAGCATAACATAACATAACATAATACAACATAACATAACATAGCATAGCATAACAGAAGATGTCATAACATTGCATAGAAAAGTGTAGTTTATATGCTATAATACAAGGCAGTATACTATTCAGGTGTAAGGTTTAGCTTGGGTGCTTGGTCTGGCCTGGTGCTCTAATCGAAGATTTAGTTTAGTAGCTTAGGGTACAGGGCTTAGGGGTTTAGGACTCTGGGTTTCGGGTCCGCAACTACGCCCTGCCCAAGATACCCACCATGAAGGACTTATGGGGGCTCTGTTCAGGGTATATACCTTGAGGGTCCCTAAACCCTAAACCCCTAAACCCTAAACCCCTAAACCCCTAAACCCCTAAACCCCTAAACCCCTAAACCCCTGACTCCCTAGACCCCTAAACCCCTAGACCCTAGAGACCCTTGAGACCCTAAAACCTGAACCCCTAAGCCTAAGGTTCGGAGGTTCCGGGTTTTTAGGGCCGAGGATCTGGGGCTTCGAGTTTGGGCCTGCTTCACCCCATAAATTCCGAGCCCCGAAGCTCTAGACAGGAAGTCCCATCTGCAATGAAGTTCAGGGCTTTCGGTTGAGGGTTTGGGGTCTGGGGATTTAGGTTTAGGGTTTAGGGTCTAGGGATCTAGGGTTTAGGCAAAGGGTTGGGGGTTTAGGGAGGAAGTTCCATGCTGCAAGGCCTGAGCCCGACAAGCCTAGAAGAGGATTCGACTAGAAAAGCTTTTTAGGGTTTAGGGTTTAGGATTTAGGGTTTAGGGATTTCCCCAAGCAAAGCTTCCCGCACTCTGCAGTACTGACGCACGAAGCAAAGACAGCGGAATTACCTGTCAAGAGAATCTAAGCAGCTCGATAAGCTTCCACATGCATATGGGGGTTTCCGACAATAGGGGACCCTTATATAGTACCCCAAATAGTAGGATCCTTATTATAGGGACCCCAAAATAAGGTACCTTAATTTTCGGAAAGTCCCATATACAGCCAGCCATTAGGTATTTTGGGGGTCCAAGGCCTGTACATTACTGTGCATAAACCTCGACGAAGCCCTAAACCCCACACCCTAAACCCTAAACGCCTAAACCCCTAAAATCGCAACCTTGCGCCTCTATGTATTCAACCCCGAGAAAAGTGAGGAATCCTTGAGAATAAGGGCCCGAAATGCAGCTCGTAAAGCATCTAGACTAGAACCATAAACCTTTGTAGCAAGATTTATCACATCTTACACCCTCAGGCCTGCACCCTAAGCCCTAAACCCTAAACCCTAAACCCTAAACCAACAAAGGCCATCCAGAGGCCTGGCTTTGCCCTCGCACCGCAGTGCAGGCGCGAAGATTGCGTCCAGTTATTATAGCTAGGTTTGAGGGCGTCCCAGTCTAGAATTGTACTAAGGAGCCCTAAAGTGGTATTGACTTGACTTGACTGCGGACTGTCGGGCCCTCGTTAGGGCGCGTCCCAAAACTCGTGCATTAAATTCAAGTTCTGAGGCCGGTGCAGAAATCAAAGAGGATTTGAAAACCTCCTTGTATGCACTCGGCCTAGCCTCCGATGGCAGACCTATGGGGTCCAAAAACCCAAAGAGGCCCAAAGGACATGATCACACCCCAAAGCGGAAGGTATTCCTCCAAACCGGGCTCGTGAGAGGCCATCCTAGCCGCCCCGGAGCCCTCATCGTGGCCACAAAATGCGCACAGTGACAGCGTTTACACGCATTGGGCCGCGGGAAACGTAACCATCTGTCCAAGCACAGAAACAATAAACAAAAAGGGTGCATGCATGATCACGTCCAAAGAGGTAAGCGTGGCAATTGCGGTTGCATTGTTCCACGCAGACATGAAAACTCGCAGGATGTGGCTATGGTCGTATTCCACATTCCCGCTGGCAGCTCTAATCGGCTAAACTAACACAGACAGCAAGCAATACCTTGGCAGGTTCGTTCTCACTGTT